TTCACGTTCGGAAAATGGAGAAACTCGACGAGGCCGGAGTCGAGTATATCGGTCGAAGGCTTCGACTCGTGGGACACGGTACTGCCGCGCCGCGTATTCTTGTAGACCAGGAAAAGTACATTCTTGAGCAGGTCCGCAGGGTACCGCTGTCAAGGGGGCGTCGCGGGGATCACTCCAGTCCTCTGGTTGGGACTGAGGTGGCGGAGTTCCGAAGCCTGGATTACAAGTTAAACTGGGTTGGACGGGAATCCCGGGCTGAGGCTGCCGGCTGCGCGTCCATTCTAGCGACTAAAGTGAATTCACCATGCGTCAGAGACCTGGTCGAGGCACACAAGATGGTGGACCACCTTAGGTCTACGGCCAGCATTCCCGCGATAATTCGCAAGTTCGACCCCTCCCGCTGCATTTTCGCGACGGCCAGCGACTGCGGAGGAGTTGGCTCGGATGACTGCACGTTCCCGCAGCAAGCATGGCAGGTCCACCTGGCAGACAATGCTTTAGCGCACGGTCAACGCGCGAGGGCCACTCCCTTAGCTTGGAGATCTTGCCGAGTTAAACGCCAAGTGGCGAGCACTTTCGCAGGGGGGGCGCTCGCGCTTTCCGGGGCTCTTGCTGAAGCTCAGTGGCTTCATCTCATGTTCGAGGATGTTGTGAGAGGAAACGTGGCGTCAGAAACCTGGCAGGGGAGAGTCGGCCCCTTCGCTGCCATTTTGAAGGAAGACTGCCAGTTGATCGCTCACTCGTCTTCGGAGTGCCTCAGCATAGTTGACGCCAAGGGGATATATGATACCCTCAGTAAGTTATCAAATGGTTCTCGATCCGATCGTCGAGCCGCGATCGACCTCGCGGTCGTTCGAGATATCATGCAGAAGGTCGGAAGCGTGATCCGTTGGATGCCGCGCCCGTTACTTCCTGTCGACTGCATGACGAAATCGGACCTTGCGAAAACCAATGCGGCTCAATATGAGCTGCTCCGTTCTGGGTGTTTGCGTCTCTCGGCGGAAAGCGGGGCCCTCGACGGCCGGCGCGAGGACCCCCGGAAGAAGGGCCGCTCCAGGGCCGAATCCCAGAGGCAACTCCAGCAGCAGGAGGATGGTGGCAAGGCCAGTGCTGTTCAGCCGCCCCATGCCGAGTGACAGTTGTCACAGTCTGGCGGGACATGGCAGGTGCACGCTTCTCGAGGGCCGTCAGGGCCGAGCGAGACATAAGTGCACAGCCAGGCCGGAGCGAGGTCGTCAGGACTCGCCCCGGCACGACGGCAGCAGCAATATATGCACATGGCACTAAAGTGTTCATCCCTCTCTCCAAGATGGTGCGGTCCATTGGCTCGGAGGAGGGCCACGGTGCCTTCATGACCTATCAAGCTCACCGTTTGTCGGGGTACTGTGTGATTTGAGTCTAGAGGCCCGTGGTTTTCAATGCCGATGCTCAACTAGACTCCCTGGGCTTGAAGGTCACGAGCATGGGTCGTAACCATTCTGGCTCAAGACCCAACTTCTACTCATTCCTCATCATTCATACCACATCCCATATTCCATCCCTTTCCCCATACCGTTCTGTGCTTAATCTGTGCAGCGTTGGAAGCTGCGTACTGACTAGAGAGTGCGAAGGTTCTTTTGCTGGAGAAGAAAGGATCCGACACTTTGGCTCCATCGCTGTCGTCTGTCGGGCGACACCGCCCTCAATCCGTGAAGCTCCTGCAGTGTTTCAAACAACGAGGGCGCGTGGCGCTGAGGCCAGAGCCACATCTTGATCACCGCCCACCAAACCACCCCAACCCACCCGAAGGCCTCAATTCGCCATCCATTTCCAGTGTGGGGGGGTCCGGGAACGTCGAAAAAAACACATCGGGCCTTCGGGTTGGGTTGGGGTGGTCTGGTAAGTAGTCATATACATTGCCAGTGGCGGGCCGCTCTGCAATCCCAGGATTTTTGCAAGGTCGAGGACGACATTCGGGCGGTGTGGTGTATACTGGTACCCCGCTTTCCCAGACGAAGCAACGAAAAACGCATGCACTAGGATCCCGTATGCACCAGGATCCGTTTTCAGTGCAGGGCTGGAAAAAGCGTCGGTGTATAGAGTTCGGTTTCTTAGTGAAGTCGGGCGTGTCCCTCTGCGGGCGGAATGCTCAAAAATAGTCAAAAAATAGTATGGGGACGAATTTTCTCTCTCATCGTTTTGAGTATGTGGGGCATTCGTTGTACTATGTTTTCATCTTTCGTCCAGAATCCGCCTGTAGGAGGGCATGCCCGACCTAACCTTGAGGGTGAAGTCGGGCATGTCCCTCTACAGGAGATCTGCTCAAACATAGTGTGACAAATAGTCTGGGCACGACTTAAAAAATAATAGTTTTGACAAGTTTGAGCATTTCTTGTATTTCCTTATGTAGGAGGACATGCCTGTAGGAGGACATGCCCGACCTAAGCCTCGGGCCCCCAAAGCGCGGGCATCAAGGGCGTAAAAAGCGCCCCTGCCCTGGTTTACGAGGCGCTGTGCGCTGAACCTCCTGTGAGCTGACAGGGTAAACCCTGCGCGATGTGCGGCGTAGCGTTGGGGTTTCCCAGGAGGTTTACAGTCCACGAGACTGTTTTTTGTTATCAAGGGCGTAAAAACGCCCCTACCGTGTCGCGTGTCGCGCGGCGTGTGTCGCGCGGCGTCCTGGCGGCTCTCTGGCCTTTGGGAGCTCCCAGGAGGTTTACAGACCACGGTTTTGTAACCCAGGGTAGGGGCTTTTTTGCACCCCTCAATGTTAGGGTCCTGCGATGACCCGGGTTATCGGGCTTGTCCCCCTCCCCCCCCTCGATAACCTAACCTTGCTGGTTGTGCAGGTACGGGGTGGTGGGGGGGGGCGGGGGGCTGCCCACAGCGCGAAGGTTCGGTTATCGGCCGGCCCCCTCCATCATTCCCCCCCGGATAACCCGGGCTATCGCCGATTCAAAAACAGGGTCTCCACGCACCTGTAACCCAGAGCGTGAACTACCTACCCCGCTTTCGCTTCCAGGAAAATCCAAGTCATACCACGCGCCTCCTCGTCAAACGGCCTGACCAGTACAGGCCGTAGTCTGGCATCGCTCGGTATCTCTTGGAAGCGATGGTGGTCACAAGCGAGGTAGGTTTGTTTTCCCCAAAAAAAAGGTCTCCACGCACCTGTAACCCAGGGCAGGGCCGTTTTTGTTCCACCCCTCAGGGGCCAACACCACCTGGCGCCGCTCCGAGAGGAGGAGGAGGAGGAGGAGGAGGAGGAGGAGGAGGAGGAGGAGGAGTAGGAGGAGGAGGAGGGGGAGGAGGAGGAGGAGGAGGATGAGCAGGAGAAGGAGGAGGAGTCCCCGCGCCAGGGAGGGGGCCGGGGTCCAGCGCCGATCCGAGAAATCCGCGCGGACCCCCGAGAAACCCAGCGTATGTATTGCGGGGTTCCTCTCGGCGGCCAGCCTAGGGTTGGAGGTGCGAGGGGGCGGGCCTTCCCAGAAGGCCCGGAAGTCTCCCGGCCTGTGGGAAGCTCTCTCGATCTCCCCCGCAGACACAGAGAGCAGTCCTCAGAAGGCCGGAGGGCTTCTGAGGAGCCCCGCCGCCTTCTGAGAAGGCATCCTCGCTCTCACTCCCCCCCCTAAAACCGGACGGGGCCAGGACGAGGACAAATCCGCTCCAGAGCATGAGGAACTCTCAAGAGCATGACGGAACGCCGTGAGAAGGCCGCGGCGCCCGAGACATCCTCCATAGCCGCCAGATCTCAGGGATTCCCGATCGATTCTCGCTTGAGTGTGTCCTCGTCCTGGGCTGCGCCTTGCGCGCTCGCCGCCGATCCTCTCGTCGCGCCAGGGGCACAGCTCTTCGCTCCCCTCCCTCTCCCTCGTCCTCCCTGCGTTAAAGTCGGGCGTGCCCCTGCACAGGAGGAGTACCCAAGGAATAGCCCAACATAGTCCGGAGACCATTTTTTATTGACTATTTCTGCCCTCGGCAAATCGGCACTATTGTATGGAATGGTTTTTTATGGCACTTGTTGTTTATTGGAGAGGCCTGACGGCCGGTGCCGCCGACCCTGATCGAAAGGGCTAGGAGTGGGGGGAGGAAGCGGCGGAGGAGGAGGAGGAGGAGGAGGAGGAGGAGGAGGAGGAGGAGGAGGAGTTGTTTATTTGTCCTCCCAGATCGGCCCGTAGGAGGACCTGCCCGACCTCACTCCAGCCGCGCCCCTGGCACAGCTCTGCGCTCCCCTTCCTCGCCCTCGTCCTCCCCGCGCGCTCCCCCCCCCCCCCCCCCCTGCGCGCCTCGCGATCTCGCCCTCGCCGGGTCCTGCGCCTAACGGGGTGGTTATGTTGCATCTTCGGGGGACCTCGCCTGTCCCCAAAATGGGTGTCTTTTTGGGGGCCCGACGCGTGCTCGATGCGAAGTCGACGCGGATTTGGCGTGGATTCGACGCGGATTCGACACGGATTCGACACGGATCCAACGCGTCCGACATGGATTCGACACGGATTCGACGCGGACAGGGCCGCGACGGGACAGACAAGGTCCCCCGAGGATGCAACATAAGGGTGGTGATGGGCGCAGGTCCAAACGCAGGAGAGAAGAAAAGCACAGGCTCAGATCAGCGTCGACTCCCAGGATGATATGGGAAGTACGGGAAGGGGAGGGGGAAACGAAACTCCAGCGAAGGCAGGCAAACGTGGGGAATCCTGGTTGTTGTTTGCATATTTGTTCGTGTGCCCCTGCGTCCCTGTACAGCAGCGACCTCATCACCCCGGAATCCACACTCCCCCCTGCCAGGCGCGCAATTGTCGCGGGAAGGACGTTGGGCCTGAAGGGAGAGGGCTGCTACCAGCCCGAGCGTGCGTACGTGCTTGTGAGTTATCCCTGCCCAGGAGCCAGGGTGAGCTCGGCCAGGGAAAGGAGGAGGAGAGGATGTCTCGAGGATGGGAAGGAGAAAGAGGAGGAACAGTTTGCGCAGAGAGGATCTGGAGGAGTGGTTGTGAGGAGAGGAAGTCTGAGAAGGAGGAGGCGCCGAGGAGAACGCGGTGGACTGCGCGATCTGCAAGCGGAGACGGCGCAGATGGTCTGGAGGTTCTTTGCATATCTTTCTTTCTCTCTCAGGCGATGGCTGCGCAATGACTTCCTCGTCCATATCCTCCCCCCCGTTCCTGCTTCTCCTGCTTCTGCCCTTCGACTCGCTCACACTCAGACACGTACCCAGATTAATTCACACTCAGACGCACTTTCATTCCTACGCAGACTCACTCGTACTCCTATCCAGAATACGTAGACACAAGCTCACATTTACTTCCATTCGCTCACGCTCAGTCTCGTACTTAGAGCTGGTCTCACATACGCACACATATATGCCCGTGATGTAGCACGCATGGCAGTTGGGCTTCCCAAGTGGGTGTCTGCCAGAATTGTATCTCGGACACGCTCGCACCGCACCCAGACCATGGGGACCTCACAGATCGAACGCTTTTGCTCCTTCACTGCAGGGGCTCCGGCCCGTTCTCTTCCAGCGTTTGGGGCCTGTGGCCGTGTCCCAGACAGGTGTCGAGCAGGTGGCGCCCCGGAATCGGGCGCGTGAAAATCCATGCGCGGAGGGGTCGCGGGCCCAGAGGTCGACACCAAGACCAATGTCGGCGGTGTGCCTCCACCGTGGGGAGGGGATCCCGATCTCGGCGATGGTGGTAAGATTCGTGGCGTCCAAGGCGACCGAAGTAGTTTCCACCGACGCCGAGATCCAGGATCATCTGCCCCCTGTGGGGGCAATGCCCTGCGTCGGTGCTGGTGCCCACTGCCAGGCCTCCACAGGAGTTGGCATCGCTCGGACGTGTGCATTTTTCCTTCGGCGAGGAACATCGAGGAGCATCCTTGATGATTTGGCGAAGAAACCACGCACGAAACCGAAAATAAGCACAGGGAATGGACGTTCGAGCGATGTCCAGAGGAGGGGCGGTCTCCGTGCGCCTCGTCGCGTATGCCTTCGGCACTCGTGTCTGCACGTGCTCCCGGCGACCAGCTTGCTCGCGCGTCAGGGTCGCTGCGCGTGCCAACCGCAAGTGCACGCGAGGGGGGCGGCGGGCGCGCTGGGCACGTGTGGTCATGCGTCCACGGGGGCGTCGGATAGCCAACGCGGTGTGTGGGGAGCTGTTTCGCCGGAGACATCAGCGCACAATGGGCATGTTTCAGGAGGAAAAAAACACACAGACACGATTAATCGTCGACTCCCCAGAAAATATGGGAAACTATGGGAAGTGGGGTGGAAGACAGAAACCCAGAAAATATAGGAAAATATGGAGAATAATTTTATGTGTGTGTATTTATTTGTGTGTCCTGGGGCCCCTTCAATCCAACTCGGTGTGTGGGGAGCTGTTTCGCCGAAGACATCAGCGCACAGTGGGCATGTTGGAGGTGCTGTTCTACGACGCTGGTTCTCAACGGTGAAGCTGTCGCCATAGACATCCTCAGAAGACAGAGACGTGATAGATCGGGCCTCGGATATTCTACATGGTCTTGGTGGAGCGTTTCGCCTGAGACATCCACGCACGATGGGAATGTTTGAGGACTTTGATGTATGGCGTTTGTTATCAAACCTGACTTCGTATGAGACATCCTCAGAACACTGAGATGCTGGATATCGGGCGTTGGGTATCCAAAATGGGGGGGAGTGCGTTTCGCCCGATATATCCTCATAGCATTGGGATGTTGGAGGAGTTGTTTTAGATAGAACGTCGGTTCTCAAAACATGAGGTTTGCGCCTTCGACATCTTCAGAATTATGATAAGTCGGAGATCGAACATTGGATATTCAACATGGTTTGTGGTGGGGGGTCGTTTCGCTTGAGGCATCCTCGCACAATTGGAATGTTGGAAAATGTTTGATGACGTTGGTTCTCAATCATAAAGTTCTCGCATGCGACATACTCCGACAATTGAGATATTCAACTCGGGCATTGGATATCGAACTTGGTGTGGCGGGGCGTTTCGCTGCAGGCATTTTCAGAAACAACAGGAGATGTCCAGTGAGCCAACACATTCGACGCATGCCTTCAAAAGCTTGGCTCTCGTTTGAGACATCCTCACACATTGAGGCGTCACCAGAGAAGTCTGACTGCATACTATGTGACTACATTCCTTACTGGGCGCGTGGGCCCTTCAAGCTCTGAGTAGACGTGTCTCTTCAGAAAGCCGCATGATCACCGCGGTGCAGCAGGCATGGCATTTGGGCCTCCAACGGGGGGGGGGCAACCTAGGGTGTATCACGGACCCTTTCGACCCCAGATTTTCAGGATCTCTCAGGCAGGCTGTTGGTCTTCAGATGTTTCGCCTCTGGGAGAGCCCTCGTGGGGCCCCCAGGACCGTCAGCAGAACGACTCGGGATGAAAAACCAGTCCCGGGGAAAAGTTCGAGACGTCTAGGGCTCATTATTCTGAGAAGCGTTAGAATCGAGTTCGCCAGAAATCGGGTTTGCCGATAATGTTTGAAGTGCCCGTCCTGGATTTTGACGTTCCGGTTTTCGTGGGACGTTTGCGGCGGGAGGTCGCGCCAAAGTTCAGATGGCGTTCCCAGACATGCGACGTCCTGATTCTTTCAGCACGGGGTCCCTCGAAGTCCCGACCCTTTCCCCGGGACTAGCTTTTCATCCTGACAGTTTTGTTGACGGTCCTGAGGCCCGGCGAGGGCCTCCCCAGGCCGAAAATTACTGAAAGCCCGCCGTCCTGTTTTTTTTGTTTTTGTTTGGCTGTTTTTTGTGTAAAAAAACTTTCGAAACGATCAGGTCTGGGTTGTGGAAATATCACGACGCGGGAGATCGGGATCTTCGGAGGGTGCTCGACCGTGGGGAGTCGGCCGGGATTCGGGGTCACCGTGCGGTTTTGAGACTCGAGTCTCTCTCCGAGGATGTCTTGGGTGACAGGGGCCTCCAGGGATTACCAGCCTGGAACATATCCCTATCCCTATGCTGGGCATCGCCTCATCACGATCTCAGGGATTCCCTTAGGTTTTGTGGGCGCATCCCTAAGATTGTCATCGCCTTTTGTCGGGGGAACGTAAGACTCGGGTAAGACGGAACTCGGGTTTGCCGACGTTTTTTGACGAGCGCGTCCTGGATTTTGACGGTCCAGTTTTCGTGGGATGTTTGCAGTGGGAGCTCGCGTTAAATTTCAGATTGCGTCTCGTCATTTTTATGATGGACCCCGTCAGGCTAACCCGCGTCCCCCGTACCCGAGTCTTACGTCTCCCCGATTTTGGTGTGTCAATCTTAGGGATAGGGATAAGTTCGAAGCTGGTGAAGGGTCCCAAAACCGTGCGGTGACGGAACGTGCGGTGAGGTCTGTTGGGGGTCGAGGTCACCGCACGGTCTGTCACCGCACGCTGTTGGGATCCCCAAGCATTTGATTGAGTAGACCATTCTTCGCTTTTGGCCGCATGGTTGGGAACTGATGTGGAGTTACGAGTCGTGGGGTTGCTCCGACGTCTGCATTTGGATGTGACAGGGCCTACTGAGTCATGGCTGGGCGCAGGAAGCCGAGAACCTGTTGTGACGGGACGGGTGAGGCAGGGGCACCCTTCCTCACTCCAATTCTAGTCGATCTGGTACTGGACGGCTATCCGCAGGAGGCAAGAGCGGCACGGGGAAACAGAGGTTCTGGCACAACTGTGGGATGGCAGGTGGGCCAAGGGAGGACAAAATCACCCGGACCCGATAACTGGCGTTTACGAGATTGCGCTGGGCATTTACGAAGCAGACCTGCCCTGTTCGATTTTGTGGGTGCGTTTGCTAAACGGCTTCGCGTGCCAGGGTGATTTATTATGGTGGTGGATATTCTGCCCTGTAGGGGGAGGCGACCGGCTGCCACACGTTGCTTTTTGCGGATTGTTTAATTTTTGGTAGCCAGATCACGGCTGTTCATGACACGCATGTTGTTCATACTGCGGAGGGCCCCGCTCGGCCCGGGCTTGCGCTGCATCCGACCGAAAGCCAAGTGCAAGCGAGCAGTGTCGACTACCAGCGGGGGCACATCGTGATTGACGAGTGTGTTTCCATTGATGTATTGCCAGTTGGTGAATACTTAGACCTTTCGGGAACCAAGCTGCACCTCCAGGACCCAAGCGGACGCGAAGCCAAACGCTGGACAGCGAAAGCAAATAATAAGTTCCGGGCTTTGAAAAAAGTGGTCACGAGGAAGCTCTGTTATTGAAGAAACGTTCGCAGATTTTCACAAGAACGGTGACGGGGACAGTAACGTGGGGATATGAATCTTGTACGCCGGACATTTGTGCGGACCCTGCGCCACGCAACGCGCAATGTTCCAGGGCATTGCTTGCATTGGACGCACTGATGACGTGGATTGGGCCGGATGGCTACAGAGAGCGACGAGGCAGGCGAGACAAGCAGAACGTGATGCCGGGGGGCGGGAGTGGTTGCATTAGCACTTCATGACAGAGTAGATATGGACGCGTACATGTAGCGAGATTGCCCGACAGCGAGCGGGCTTGTCGAGCCAGTCTTTTTCTTTGGAGGGGTTCAGGCACAGTGATATTCGTGACATATGGTGGAGACCAGTGCGGCCATCGAGGCATCCATGGATGAAGTTCGAACGCGTGTTGAGACTGTTTGCGCGCAGGGAAGGCGTGGATAGTGGAGAAATGAGGCTCAGGATCGTGAGGCCTGGAATGAATTATACGGCGAATTCGCCCCGTGGGCGCGCGCGGTAGACGTCTGGCCCGGATCCTTGAGTGCTGCAGCACGTTGTCGTGCCCCCCCGCGGGCTTCCGTAGCTAGGACTTCACGCTTCGCTTCGCGTTTCACGCTTCGCCATCGTTCCCCCCCCCTTTCGTCCTCATCGCCCTCCTCCCACTCCTCTGTCGGCGGGGCGCCCGCCCCGATGCGAACGACGACCCAGACCCAATGCGCGCGAGGATGGCGAGGAAGGCCACCACCGTGGCGATGGCGATGACGGCGTTGACGTCGTCGGCGTCGACGACGTCGTCGCCGAAGGCGACGCCGACGACGACGTCGACGATGTCGACAGCGTCGTCATGGACGGCGACGGCGGTGGAGCCGACTGCGACGGAGACAGCCCAATGTCAGGGGTCATTCCGATTCCGCAGGTTCGATTCGAATCGATTTCCGCGATTCCGATTTCGAACCGACTCGATTCTGGGATTCCGATTCGCGATTCCGATTTCGAGTTCGCCCGATCCGGCTTCTGCCGATTCGATGCGTCAGCCGATTCTTTATTGGCTTCTTGTTTTTTTTTTTTTTTTTTTAGTGCATTTTTTTTTTTCTGTTTTTTTTTTGTTTTGTTTTTTGCTTGGCTTTTGCTTTTCTTTTTTTTTCTTTTTTCTGTTCTTTTTTGTTTGCTTTTGTTTTTTTTTTCTTTTCTGTTTGTGTGTCTGCCTTTTTTTTCTTTTTTTTATTTTTTTTTTTATCTTTTGTTTTTTTTTTGTATTTTTTTTGCTTTGCGTTTTTTTTTTTATGTTTTCCTGTTTTTTTTTTTTCTTTTTTTTCTTTTCTTTTTTTTTCTGGGTTTTTTTTTTTTTTTCTTTTGTTCTTTTTTTGTTTTGTGTTTCTTTTTTTCTTTGTTGCAGCTTTCGCCCGATCCGGCTTCGCTCCGGCTCTGGCCCAAAAGGGGAGGAGGAGGAGGGAGGAGACCCCCCCAGGGGGGAGTCAAAAACCCCAAAAACCCCCCAGGGGGGGTTTTCCAAAAGCCCCGGGACCCCCAAACCCCCCCAGGGGGGGTTTTCCAAAAGCCCCGGGACCCCAACCCCCCCCCAGGGGGGGGGGTCCAAAAGATCAGGGACCCCCAACACCCCCCAGGGGGGGGGTCCAAAAGCTCCGGGACCCCAAACCCCCCCCCAGTGGGGGGGATTTTCCCAAAAGCCCCCGGGGACCCCAAGTTCCCCCCAGGAAGTGGTTTTCAAACAGTCCCGGGAACCCCCCCCCCCCCGGGGGGGGTTTTCCTAAAGCCCCGGGAACCCAAACCCCCCCCAGGGCGGGGTTTTCCAAAAGCCCCGGGAACCCAAACCCTCCCCAGGGGGGGTTTTCCCAAAAGCTCCGGGAACCCAAACCCCCCCCAGGGGGGGTTTTCCAAAAGCCCCGGGAACCCAAACCCCCCTCGAGGGGGCGGTTTTCCAAAAGCCCCGGGACCCCCAACCCCCCCCAGGGGGGGTTCCAAATCCCCCCCCGGGGGGGGTCCGATTTCGATTCCGATCCGGCTTGACGCGGTCCGGTTTCCTACTCGATCCGGCTCGGACCTGCCGACCTCAGCCGATTTCGATTTGGCTGCCGGCTTTTGCCGATTTCTGCCGATTCGATGCTCCGGTCGACCCGATCCGGCTCATCGATTCGATGCTGGGGCCGCCTGCAATGTCGACGATGACGACGACGTCGCCCACGTCGGCGGCGGCGACGACGTCGACAGCGGCGGCGATGAGCCCGCGCAGGCCCCAGAGGGCGCCAGCGCGGGCGGCCCGTCTCCTGGGGCACGCGAGGCGAGCGGGTCCACGCCGCCGCCGCCGTCGTCGCCTTCGCGCTGGTGGAGGGGGGGGGGCTTTCAAAGGCGGGGCCTGGAGGGCCTGGGGCCCTGAGATTGGTAGATGGGCCTGCAGGGCCGAATTCACCGGTGCGTCGGTCGGCAAGCCTGCGCGCAAGAGGGCCTTAGTGACGACGCGTCCTATAGGGAGCTCCACGCTGCTCCCGGGCAGGCTCTGCTGCACGGCGGCGTGGGGGGAGGACGGGAAGAGCAGGCTGACGACGACGAAAACGCAGTCGGGACGCGGGGGCCGGCGGGGCGGGAGGGCACGCAAAACGGGGGCTGGACGGAGAGCAGGCAGAGGAGAGCAGGCGGGACCTGCACCTTGCAAGGCGTCCTCGCCCCCGGGTCCCAACGGTTCACGGAGGTGGCGTTGCTGCAGACTCCAGTGGTCAGCCAAGCTCCAGCTTCAAGCCCGAGCAGGCCACTCGGCTGGATTCACCGCGCAAGCGGAGAGCTTGAACTTCGGCAGCAAATCGTCCGACCCTCGTACACCTTCGTAATTCCGTCTCCCGGGCGCACTCGCGTCGATTAGCGTCTGGTAGTTGATGGGATAGCGCCGATTTACCGTCGATTGACACGCCGATCAGCGTAGATTCACCAGTTCCATGAAGATGACACGAGAAGCTCCCGTGAACGACCCCACCATTGAAATACCGATCGTGGTGGTCGTCCTCGTGCGCATCGCGACGGGGTCGCCGTCCTGGCGCTGGGCGCACCGCGGCCGTCGTCGCCGCCGCCGACGTCGGCGGCGCCGTCCTCATCGACGTGCGCCCCCGTCGCCGTCGCCGTGGTGGCGGTCCGTCGCCGTGGTCGTGGTAGGCTCGGTTTGGTCGTGCCGTGGTGGCGTCGTGATCGTGGTGGCCTCGTCGTCACCGTCTTCGCCGTCGTCGTATTCTTTGTCGCCATGGTCCTGGTGGTCTTGTGGTCGACGTGCACGCCGCCGTCGCCGTCGTCGCCGTGGCGATCGTCGTCGCCGTGGTCGTGGTGGCCTCGTCTTGGTCGTGTCTTTTCGGAAGACGGGAGACGGGGAAGGATCAGGGAAACGTGAGGCTCGAGTCAGCCGCAATTCGGGTGTGCCGACGCTTCTAGAAGAGACTGAACTTCTGCCTTGTCCTGTCCCTTCCTGTACCCGTTGCCCTTTTTTGCTCGCATGGATTGGCGCACATATGCACGACCTGTTGGACAAGTTTCAAGGGTAAGAACTTCATCGTCGTCCTTCATTCTACGTTATGTCGTTTTTACAGCGGGTGCTCGAGAGGGGATCGGCCCTTCCCTCACACAGGTTCGGATGCAACTCCTGGGAGGTCAAATTCTGACCTTGCCCTGGTCCGAAATCTTTTTCAATATTGCCAAATTCCGTTTAACCTGGTTTAATCCCGATAAATCCAGCGTGTTTCCGCTCCATCCGTGGCCTTAGTTGGCGTGACAGCCTCCCAGTGAGGCTTGATGTGCTTTTCATCCTTCTGCTCGGCATCGCTCGGACGTGTGCATTTTTCCTTCGGCGAGGACCATCGAGGAGCATCCTTGATCATTTGGCGAAACAACCACGCACGACACCGAAAAAAACACACGGAACGGACGTCCGAGCGATGGCCAGTCCGACGAAGACCTCCCAGTAGGTGCTTCCTGACACAGCCCCCGGATCCTTCGCGTGCGACGGCTTCCGCGCGGCAGGTTCCGGCTCCGCCCCTGATGGCAGCCGCCCCGCCTCGTGCGGCTGTGCCGCCTGCCGCGGCGCGCGTTGGTGACTCCCCTGCCTCGCGCGCTTTGCCCATCGGTCGTTGAAAGTAGGCCTTTTTGGATTCCCAGATTCCAATCTGGTTTGGGCGCCTTCTTACTTCCATGATTGAGTGGCGTCCCCTTTTCCTTGCTCCCTAGGGGCCGGGCGGACACACACAACCTACTTTCAACGCCTTCCTACTTCATGGTTCTACCTCCTTCTTCCGACCGATGGGTAGCGCAGTCTCGATGATATGTTTGATCGTGGCAAAGCTTACGCCGCCATTGTACCAATTCCTCGATACATCTTCGGAACGTGAGGATTCGATCGACATGGCATTCACTCACGATGCCTTCGGCGATCCGAGCTTACGCGCCTTCCCCAGCATAGGGACCATTGACCGTGGAGCTCTCGACGCTTTCGCTCACCGCCTGCAGGGGGGGAGATCCTGAAGGCGACAGCCACGGTGGACAGAGACGCTCCCAGGACGCTCACCGCGTGCGGAGGGGGGGACTCCTGCAGGCGTTGGCTCCCACGGACCACCCAACGCCCACGACGCCAGATTTCCAGGTTTTTGACCCCGCCGCTCACAGCTCGCGGGGGGGTGAGGGGGACGGGACGCCTGCAAACGCCATAGCTATGGCTCCCCCTTGCTTCCCCAGTGCGTTGGTTTCGCCGGTGCTAAGAGTGAATTCAGCGTGGATTTGCGTCTTCGTTTTTCATTTTTATTTTCCTTTTTTTCTGATATGCGCACGTCAATCGATCATGTGGCTCGGGCGTTCGTGTGAATGCCGCGTGGCCAGCGAATTTCGAATGTCTTCCGTGCCCTTGATTCTTCCTCATCGTATTCATTTATCTTATTCCTCTTGCCTGCATTGTTTTTCTCTTCATTTCCCTCCCGCTGTCATCTTCTTTTGTCAGGGCCTGCGGCAGGATCCAACAGGGCGCCGGGAAAGCTGCAAGTGAGCTCGAGGAGAGTCCAGCAGGTCCCGAGAAGGATTGCAAGCAGGCCCTAGGGTCCCAAGACAGGCTTTGTAGGGGTCCAAAACAACTTGCAGACCTGTCTCCTCGCATATGTTCTGACGCGTTTCGGCCGTGGTCCGCGGGATTCTACTGTTCATCCGCCTTTTTGCCTTCATTTCCGACGCCTCGCGTATTTCCGCCAGCCAAGGCAAAAGCAATCACCAGGCGAGTTGCCTCGATCAGCATGCGTAGCAGCATGCGGCGCCGCAGCGAACCGAATGCGTTTTCACTGGTTCTGTACGGGAGGAGGAAGAGGAGGTGGAGGAAGCGAGGAACAAATATGGTGGCGAAGGACCAGTAGTAACGAAAGAAGAGGAACAGCAAAAGGATGGACGCGTGCTGGAGGAAACAGCAACATGCTAGAGCATGAGAAGGTCGGAAGGATGATGAGGGACCTGAGGGGGGGGGAGGGTTACGAGGAGCCAGGGGGAGGTAGCAGCCGCATTGGTGATCCGCGCAGAACACCAGTGCGCCGCATCCTTTCGTAAACGAGGATGTAGGAATGTGCCAGATGGGGAGGTGGGAGGAGCATGGGGGAGGTAGGAGGACATGGGGGTAAGAACACTCAGGACGAAGCAGTTCCAGAGACGGTGCCCAGGCAAATTGTGTTGATCAGAAACGTGTGCCAGCATGGTGCTCAACCAAGAGGGCGACGCTGTTTACGTTAGAAACGCGAGGACGGCGCAGGAGGAATCGGAGGATTAACAGCAGCGGGGAAGGAGGACAAGGAGGAGGATGACGAGGAAACGGAGGAGGGGCGGGATGAGGACGAGGAGTAGGAAAAGGAAGGATGGGAGAGAAAAAGTCACGACGACGGCCAGAATCAATCATGGAGGATTTTGTTTGTTTTTCGCACACGGCTCTTGTTAGAAGCCCCTTGGGTGATTTGTGGGCCATTGTGGAGCTAATTTGGAGCCATTTTGGGAGAGCCTACGGGGTCCTCTTGAGGCTGTTTCGGGCCTCCTTGGGATCCTCTTCGGGGTCTCGCGGGCCCGTCTTGGAGGCCTTGGGGGCCCTCTCGGGGCCATCTTGGAAACGCCGCCAGTCAAAGAGTACGGGGGAAGGGGGGGGGGGGTCCTTGCAGCGCCCCCTCTCTGGAGCCGCCCGCGTCGCCTCTTGGCGCTCTCTTGGGGCGTTCTTCGGCTGCTCTTGAGCGCTCTCGGCGCCGTCTTGGGGCCCGTCGGTTTCTTCTGGGGGGCCATCCCAGGCCAGCGCCTCCATCTTGGGGCCCCAAGAGCCCATGGAAAACGAAAAGGCGACGAGACATAACGCATAGCACGCGATGGTTTTCATTTTTTTGTCTTGGAGGCCTCCTTGGAGAGTTCGAAGGGCACGCGGGGCCGTCTTGAAGCGGTCTTGACGACTCTCAGCGGCATGTTGGAGGCTATTCGGAATCGTCCTGGGATGCATTGAGCGATATTGGAGGCGTACATGGGCTCCTTGCAGCCATCTCGGATACATTTTGGGCCGCATTGGGCGCTCCAACGACCCGCGGCCACCTCCCCGCGCATGAGGGATTTGGCGGGGGAATGGGGAACCGTGTCCATGAAGGGGAAGAGTGGGCTTGGATGAATTACTTCGTCACGCTGCTCACGTTTAAAGAGGTGCTGGGATTCCTGTCTCCCTCCGGCCCTCTCCTGCGGCGTGCACCCCCCACTCCCTGTGACTTCTCCCCCCCCCCCCTCCTTCCAGGCCCCGCGCGCGGCCTAGTGAAAACTTCGGGGGGAAAAAAAATCGTTTTGAATACCTCTCCGAATTCTTGGTGGATTTTTCCATGGGCGCGCGCATCGAAACAAAAACACGCGCGGAAAAATCCGGAGGGCAGCCGGAAAAATTCACGCGGCTTCCGGGGCAAATTCACATTTGGATTTGGAGAAATCCTGGCAGAATTCACTCGAGAATCCGGGATAGTATTCCCAGGCGGCCGTGGGAAAATCCCACCAGCCATGCAGAGCGTGGGTGGTGGTTTAACGGGCTAGCTTATCCGCGCGTTTCTCCCTGGCAGGGACGGGGATCCCCCCCCTGCCCTCTCGTCCCCGGGCGCGGGCAGAGAGTGGCCGCGGGGCGGTGGAGCGCCCGAAATGGCCGAAGATGGCTCCAAAGGAACCGCAGGCGACCCAAGAAGGATTCCGAGATTGCTCCATATACTTGCAGATGGTACAATTTTGCTTCCAATGCGCCTCCAAGCCCCCTCAAGACCGCTTCGTGACAGCCCACAATTGTCTTTCGAGCTCTTGAAGGAGGCCTCCAACAGGTTCAACTCCTTTACAATCACTGTGCGCTTCAATGTTTTCCTTCTCGCCTTTTTGCTTTCCGTAGTTTCTAGAGGCCTCGAGATGGCTGCGAGTTGGTTCGAACTTGCTTTGAGAGGGGGCCACCAGGGCCCAAGTCGGCTCCAAGAGCACCAAAGAGCGGCCCAAAACGCTTCGAGGGCGTCGCAAGAGGGCCGCATTTGGCGACTGGGGGGCTCGAGAAGGAATGGGGCGTTGCTAGGGCCCCACTTATTTTGACCGACGGCTTCAATATGGCCCCAGGAGGACCCCCATGGCTTCCAAGAGGGGCCCAGGAGATCCCCGAAACGACCCGAAGAGGGCCCCGAGGGGCTCCAAGACAGCCGCCAAAGGCAGCCAGAATTGCCCTAAGAGAGCGCCGCGGCGGCACCGATATGACGACGTTGATGGGGCGCCCCGCAGGCACCTAAAGCGAACGACTCGAGATCCTCGATGATTGATGCCCGTCGTCAGCGTGTTTTTTCGTCTCTATCCTTTATCTGTCCCTCCCTTGTCCTCCTCCTCCTCCTCGCCCCTCTTCTGTGATCTCCTCCCTTTTCTGCTCCCTTCCCGTTCCTGCGCATCTTCTGATTAATTACTCCTGCGCCCTTTTCTTTTCCCTAACGCAACGGTTGCCCTCGTTTTTATATATATATATATATATATTTTTTTTTATTTTTAATTCCGTTGCATGCTGCTTCACTTCGCTTTCACGCTTAGCGCAACTTGCTTGGGATTCGAGTCTGCAAATGCTTTCTTCTGCATGTTCTTGCCCCTCCTATTTCCCCATGCTTCCCCCTGCTCCTTGATCCCCCCACCTCGTCCTACACCCTCGCTGGTGAGGGCGCGCGGCGCACGCGCGTTCCGCGCGGATCACTGGTGCGCCTTTTGCCTCCCTCAGGCTTCTTGTGCTGCTTCCTACCCCCCCCCGAGCTCCTCTTCCGCGTTCCTACCTGCTCATGCTCTTGCACGTTTCCAGTCTTTCCTATCGCCATGCTCCCTCTTTTCACCGTGTCCATTTTGATGTTCATGCTCCGCCCTCCTCACCTTTGCTCCGCTTCCTGCGCCTCATCATCCGCGAATACGGATGCGGCTCGCTATTTTCGCCGCTTGCCCGATTACCCGGCCTTGATCAGGGCGACTCGCCTTGCGGTTGTTCATGGATTGGCTCGTGAGGATTTGAGCAACGCGTCAATGACTTCACCGGGCGTCTAGGTGTTATTGTTGGCGTCTGGGCGTTGCCGCTGGGGTTTACCGCGGGCCAGTATGACTGCAAATTGCAAGCGGCGCGTTGGCAGGCATTCGCCTTCCTGGAGACATCTGTCTGGTTTCGCAGTGACCTTCTTTCGCACTGCTCTTGTTTCTTTGCCTCCAGTTTGCGGTTGTATGTTTGTAGCCCTTGGCTGAGCTCCATCAGACGGCTATAATTCCGCTGCCCTCGCTCGATGTATGACCGCCCCCGCCGCGATGCTCGTGAACTTTCCGGCGGGGTGATCATTTGTGGTTTTGTCTGCAGTTGGACTGCGGGCGGAACGCCGGCGCCGCTTATGCAGCATTCCATTGTTCGTTTTCCTCTGAGGGCATCCGCAGTGGATTTTGCGCGCGTTTTTTTTTTTTTTTTGAGCAGATCAGTTCAATAAGATCTGTCGTTGTTCGGCACGAGACCACTAAAATGACATTTGAAAAGGAAAAAATATCCACGCGTCCCTTCGTAGCCCTTGGCGAAGCCAACAGTGCGTGCGTCGGTGCTTCCTGCCTCTGGCGCCGTTGCCATCTGCTACTTCGGGTTCCGGCCCCGTTCTCTTTTTTCTCTTGCACTGCCAATTGCGGTGCCTCTAGGCCCCTTCAGCTACAGCGCCGCCCGCCCGCGCACGCAACGTCGAGCACGCACCTAGCGAAGCCGCGCGTCGCATCATCATCCTTGTTTCCCATCTTCCCTCCTGCCCCCCCCCCCGTCGGGCCCACCGGGAGTGGATACAGGATACCGGCACGCGGCTATATCTGTATATATGTAAAAGTGAATATATTTGTGTTTATGTTTTGTTGCAGGAGCTTGTATCTATGGATCGATATCAGCACGACGACGAGGATGAGAAGGAGGAGGAGGAGGAGGAGGAGTGGGAGGAGGAGGAGGAGGAGGAGGAGGAGGAGGAGGAGGAGGAGGAGGAAAGGTTGGATGCCGGCATCCCCTCCTGGTCGACCGCACCCCCCCGTTCTCTCACGCCCCCCCCCGCCCCCCTTCGGACGGGGCTACGATGACGATGCATCCGTTCCAGAGCGCTCCGGAACGCTCTGGAACGCGCTCGGAGCGTCCCGGAACGCTCAGAGAAGGCCGCGGCGTCCGAGACATCCTCCAGAGTCACGGGTTTTCAGAGATTCTCGATTTTCAGGCGATCGCAAACATGGATCAAGGGGCGTGGATTACGACGGGTCCCGTTTCCATGGGAATTCGTTGAATCCTCTGCCGAACGAGGCGGCATTGGCCGCATTCTGGGGACGGCACCTCCCCCGATCCATGGATTTGGCGACCGAGCGCCAGATCCATGGATCGCCAATCCATGCTTGCGCGCCCCCGAGATTTGATCCTCCCCCGATGCCATCCCCATCCTGGCGGCGTCTTGCCCCTCCACCCCCACGCCGCGAGGCCGCCGAGGACGACGGGGCGCCGCAGGACGGCGCGCCGGACCCCACACTGTTCTTCGGCGGCGTGTCGGCCGCGCCGGAGAGGCGCGCGGGCGAGGGGCCGACTCGAGGAAGAAACACCGCCACTGACATCAACTTTTTGGTGCTCCGCTCGGATTTTTCGGATCTGCGCTGGGCCCCTCCGGGCGGCGCCTCTGGCGACTCCCCCGGCGCGCTCCGCGCGCCAGGGAGCGGGTTCCGGCCCAGATCCAGCGAATCCGCGCGGACCTCCAACGGTTTATGTCTGTGCCGAGCTTTCTTCCTCTGTAGGTGGCGTGCTCCGAAGAAGCCCTGGCAGGGGGATGGCGCGCAGCGCGCACGGAAGGGGCCCCTTCGGTTGGATTGCCCCACAGGGATGGCGCGCCACTCGGAGATCGATTTGAACATGATCTTTCGAGCAGTGGTGAAGCGTCCTGGCTCGCCCCTTACACGCCCGCCGAAGAATGTTGTAAGGATCCTGTGGGTTGCACAAGATGCTCTTAGAACATTTCTGGCGGAGGCTGTCGTGTTGTAACCAATTCAGTTCATGTGTTGAGAACATCGTGCTTGTTCTTAGCATTGCTTTGATCTGAGTCTATGCCGTGGTAGGCCTATAGGAACGCCAGGACGGTCGGGCCTTGCTCAAATCTTTCCAGAGCCAACCATTGTACCTCTCCTCCCCTTCGGTTGCAACTCTCGGGGGGATCTAGCTCAGCATCGTCGTGGTGGTCTTTCTTCCTTCCCCTCCTCCATCCTCATCCCCTCTTTCTGCAACTCCCCCGCCCTCTTTGCTCCTCTGGGGTGCCACATGCGAACCCTACCCCTACCCCACCCTCCCCCTCAGAAATCGTGGGGGGTAGGGGTACAGTGGGGGCGCGCATCAAGAAACCATCTGCTTTTCGTCAGGGTTTCCTGGGTTTCTTCGCTCCTGGCGCTGCGCGGTGACCTCCCGCAGCAGTTGAAGGAGCTGCTGCGCTCAGGGTGCTCGAGGTTCCCCTTCAGGTGCACCTCGCGCGCGGGTTCTCAGGGTTGGGTTTCCTGCGAGGGTTCCCTTGCGGCCGCGCCCGCACTGCAGGGCTCGCAAGTGGGCCCCCTATCCCTTGGCATCGCTCGGACGTGTGCATTTTTCCTCCGGCGAGGACCATCGAGGAGCACCCTTGATCACTTGGCGAAAGAAACACGCACGGAACCGAACAAAAACACAGGGAATGGACGTCCGAGCGATGGCCAGATCCTCCTCGTTGTGGCCCTCGCCCCCCCGCCGACGCCGCCGCGGCCGCCTTAGCGGGAGGCCCCCCCGGCCGGGGGGGGGGGGGGGGGGGGCGAGCGCGCGCGGCGGCGGGGCGGGTCCATCCCGACGAAGTCGCTCGAGGCATGCAGCAGCAGGAAGGGAAACAAAAGCACACAGACACTACGAATCGTCGATTCCCCAGAAAATATAAGGAACATATGGGAAGTGGTGTGGGGGAGGCAACGATCCAGAACATAAATACGTATACATACATATATATATATATATATATATATATATGTATGTGTGTGTGTGTGGAAACATGGGGAATCCTGTTAGATGTGTCTATCTATTTGTGTGTCCCAAGGCCCCTTCACAGCAGGGGCCCGACCACGAGAGGCCTTCCGCGGGAAACCCAACCGTGAGACCCCAGGACGTCTACTGTCGGGCCGGGCGAAAGGGGGGGATTGGGAAAGGGGGGGTTACGAAATTTGCTGCATGCAGCTGGTGTCGGCTTCACCGAGGGGCCCATTCCTCGATACATAGCCGCCTCCGGCGCCGGGAGGCGCCGGGAAAATCAGCTACGTGAGCTGATTCACAAACCCCCCCTTTGCTATCACCCCCTTTCGCCCGACCCGATACTGGTTTTTGATGTCGGAACGCCACGCTTTCCCTAGTACAATGTACAACCATCGACACTCAAGAAACCTAGGGCACCCTGGATGCAAGCAGGGTGTTTCTCAGGAGGAGGAAAAAACGCACAGACACAATTCATCGTCGACTCTCCAGAAAAAGTGGGACGCTATGGGCAGTGGGGGGGAAGAGAGAAACCCAGAAAGTATTGGAAAATATGGGGAATCATTTCACTTGTGCATTAATTTGTGTGTCCCAGGGCCCCTTCATTTCCTTGGCATGGACCTCCACTGTATACATCCCCCCGACGACGGTGCCTCGAGTGAGCGGATCACTACAGAATCGATCGACCCCCAACAAGTATTCCGACGCTGGTTCGTCGGCAGATCCACGGGGTATCCTGCGTCTTGCTCGAGCATGCATTCGTCGACATATCGATTCTCTATCATTACATCTGCGTGTATTTCGATATATATATATATATATAGCAATATATTATGCACATATGTCATGTTTGGCCTCTTATCGATACATTGATGTATTATGCGTCTTGCTCGAGCATTCTGCGTCTTGCTCGAGCATCCATTCGTCGTGAAAGCCGAGCTTGGGTTATATCGATTCTCTAGTCGATCCCCTGTATGGGGGAAGGGAGGAGGGTTAAATCGGACCTGTCCCACTACAGGAGGGGTATTCAAAAATAGTCAAACAATGATGTGTTGACGATGTTTGATTATTTGTTGGCTACTTTCCGTCTGGGTTGACTATCTTTTCATGTTTCGTCGCAAAACCGCGTGTAGGAGGACGTGCCCGACCTAAGAGGAGGGCGGCCCTACTCCTCCAGCGCCGGCCGGACAGGGAGGAGGGCGAGCCTACGCCGGGGCGCCCCGCCAGGGAGCCCGAGGAGACCTCCTCCCAGCGCGTGGCCAGCCGCATCAACCAGGCGCCCCCCCCCCCGCTGTGCCTCCGCGAGCACGCGCGCTCCGGCGGGCCCCGCGGGGGCCCCGCGAGGCCCGTTGGAGCTCGCGTGTTGGGGCCTCGCGTCAGAGGACCTCCTCCTCCTCCTTGCCCTTCGCCCGCTTTCCCCTTTTTGGGCTTCCTGGGAGGCCTTCGCTGTCACCGCTGGATTCGCTTCAAAATCCTGGTCAGAACGCACCCCGCGAGAGGTCCGGGGAGTGGCGGGATCGGTGCCTCTTGGTTCCCGTTTCGCGGGGCACCCGGGAGGCGCTCTCTCGCAGGTAGGCGCGGGGAGTCTGGGCCTCCCACATTCGGGCGGGTGGTACAGCCGGGGGCCTGCAGAAGGAACCCTTTTCGTTGGGGAGGGGCTCGGTGTTCCTTGATTGTTCTACAGTTTGCCTTCTGTTTTCCTGAGGTTTTCCATGGGACATCGAAATGCAACTTCTGGAGAAAAGGGGCCTCGTTCCTTATCTAGGCTTCCTTAGGTCAGCGCCCCGACTGCACTGGGGGGTGACCCAGATCGGGGGTGAAGAGAATGGCCCTGCAAGCGCCCTTCAGGGCCCCTTTTGATGCCAGCATGGGCCCTAAGGGGCCCCCGCAGGGCTGCAGCTTTCCGGGGGTCCACGTCAGCATCGTCGCGGTGGTCCCTCCTGCCTCCTCTCGTCGTGGTAATCCTCCCCCTCCTGCCTGTACCCTGCTCCCTCCTGCACATCCTCGGCCCACCTTCCTCTCGGCCACGCGCAGAGGGCTGCAGGGGGAGGGGGGACGGCTTCTCAGGAGCACGCCTGCTTCGCAGAAGAGGCGAGCCTTGCTTGTAGGTTTACGGCCGGCGCCGTCTAAGAAGCAGCCTCCTTGAAGGAGCCTTCGAGTCTGACGACGACGACCACGACCACGACGACGACGACGACGACGACAACGACGACGACGACGACGACGACGGCGCCGACGACGACGAGGCTGACGACGACGATGACGACGACGACGACGACGACGACCTCGAGGACGTTCCCCCTTTCCCTGCCCCCCTGCGCGTGCCGCGAATCCCTCCGATGACGACGCCCTTATCCTTCCGCACCCTCGCCCTCCTAATCTTCAGCCTCGATCCCCATCTGGCGGTGATTCCCTCTTCATCCTTCCACACACTCGTCCTCCCGTGATTCATCCTCGATCACCCTACGACGATGATCTTGCCCATTCATCCTCCCTCACCCCCTTCTTCCCATTCTTCATCCTCGACCCCCCTCCGACGATGATCCTCCCTCTCCATCCTGCCTCGCCCTCTCCCTCGTAATTAGTTTTCCGCGTCGATCCTCTTCCGACGATGTCCAATCTCCCCCATTCAACCTTCGCATCAGATCCTTCATCAGCAATCCTCCTCCGACAGACCACGACGGCGGCCCTCTCTCTCCTGGCGCCGCGGTCGACTGCCGGCGAGCCGAGGTGTTGGCGATGCGGCGGGCGAAGAGGCCACCACCGGAGAGGGTGGTCGAGACGGCGTGGTACGACGAGATCGGCGTCTCCCCGACGGCCACGCAGGAGGGGTGGGCGAGCCTTGATTGTGCCAGGCCCCCTCGTGCTGCGAAAAAAACGTGAGGTCATCTTCTTTTGTTGCCGTTGTCGTCCCCCCCGGGTCCTCGTCGGGCCCATGTGGCGTCAAGAAGGGATGCGGGAGGAACCGCTGGTCCTGGGGAAGGGGTCCAGACCTCTGGGGTCTGCGCCGTGGTAATATATATATATATATATATATATATATATATATATATATATATACACACACTATATACACATACATACACATACATATACATGTATACACATATATATATATATATATATATATTTATATCATGGCGTCGGGGTCTGGGTATGACGCGCTGGCAACACAACTGCGCGACGACTCGACGTGTTTTTCCCCACATGTTTCGTGGGGTTCTGGTTTTCTTCCCTGCCGCGGCGCACCCGCGTCTCCTCCTCCCCTCTCTCTCCTTCTTACACAGCGCAGCACAGCACAGCACAGCACAGCACAGCACAGCACAGCACAGCACAACACAGCACAGCACAGCACAGCACAGCACATGCACAGCAGCGTAGGGGGTGCGCAGGGGCTGATCTCTCACCGCGGCCGCTATCCGTGACGGTCGTCCAGGGCACAGCAGGCATGGCATATTCTCGACACCATAGGGGTGCGCAAGGGGTGGTCTCCCACCGCGGCCGCTATCCGTGACGGTCGTCCAGGGCACAGCAGGCATGGCATATTCTCGACACCATAGGGGGTGCGCAGGGGGTGGTCTCTCACCGCGACCGCTATCCGTGACGGTCGCCCAGGCACAGCAGGCATGGCATATTCTCGACACCATAGGGGGTGCGCAGGGGGTGGTCTCTCACCGCGGCCGCTATCCGTGACGGTCGTCCAGGGCACAGCAGGCATGGCATATTCTCGACACCATAGGGGGTGCGCAAGGGGTGGTCTCTCACCGCGGCCGCTATCCGTGACGGTCGTCCAGGGCACAGCAGGCATGGCATATTCTCGACACCATAGGGGGTGCGCAGGGGGTGGTCTCTCACCGCGGCCGCTATCCGTGACGGTCGTCCAGGGCACAGCAGGCATGGCATATTCTCGACACCATAGGGGGTGCGCAGGGGGTGGTCTCTCACCGCGGCCGCTATCCGTGACAGTCGTCCAGGGCACAGCAGGCATGGCATATTCTCGACAGGGGGTGCGCAAGGGGTGGTCTCTTACCGCGGCCGCTATCCGTGACGGTCGTCCAGGGCACAGCAGGCATGGCATATTCTCGACACCATAGGGGGTGCGCAGGGGGTGGTCTCTCACCGCGGCCGCTATCCGTGACGGTCGTCCAGGGCACAGCAGGCATGGCATATTCTCGACACCATAGGGGGTGCGCAGGGGGTGGTCTCTCACCGCGGCCGCTATCCGTGACGGTCGTCCAGGGCACAGCAGGCATGGCATATTCTCGACACCATAGGGGGCGTCTCTCACCGCGGCCGCTATCCGTGACGGTCGTGGTCTCTCACGCGCGCTATCCGTGACAGTCGGGGCACAGCAGGCATGGCATATTCTCGACACCAGGGGGTGCGCAGGGGTGGTCTCTCACCGCGGCCGCTATCCGTGACGGTCGTCCAGGGCACAGCAGGCATGGCATATTCTCGACACCATAGGGGCAGGGTGCGCAGGCTATCCGTGGTCGTCTGGGACCGCTATCCGTGACGGTCGTCCAGGGCACAGCAGGCATGGCATATTCTCGACACCATAGGGGGTGCGCAGGGGGTGGTCTCTCACCGCGGCCGCTATCCGTGACGGTCGTCCAGGGCACAGCAGGCATGGCATATTCTCGACACCATAGGGGGTGCGCAGGGGGTGGTCTCTCACCGCGGCCGCTATCCGTGACGGTCGTCCAGGGCACAGCAGGCATGGCATATTCTCGACACCATAGGGGTGCGCAGGGGGTGGTCTCTCACCGCGGCCGCTATCCGTGACGGTCGTCCAGGGCACAGCAGGCATGGCATATTCTCGACACCATAGGGGGTGCGCAGGGGGTGGTCTCTCACCGCGGCCGCTATCCGTGACGGTCGTCCAGGGCACAGCAGGCATGGCATATTCTCGACACCATAGGGGGTGCGCAGGGGGTGGTCTCTCACCGCGGCCGCTATCCGTGACGGTCGTCCAGGGCACAGCAGGCATGGCATATTCTCGACACCATAGGGGGTGCGCAGGGGGTGGTCTCTCACCGCGGCCGCTATCCGTGACGGTCGTCCAGGGCACAGCAGGCATGGCATATTCTCGACACCATAGGGGGTGCGCAGGGGGTGGTCTCTCACCGCGGCCGCTATCCGTGACGGTCGTCCAGGGCACAGCAGGCATGGCATATTCTCGACACCATAGGGGGTGCGCAGGGGGTGGTCTCTCACCGCGGCCGCTATCCGTGACGGTCGTCCAGGGCACAGCAGGCATGGCATATTCTCGACACCATAGGGGGTGCGCAGGGGGTGGTCTCTCACCGCGGCCGCTATCCGTGACGGTCGTCCAGGGCACAGCAGGCATGGCATATTCTCGACACCATAGGGGGTGCGCAGGGGGTGGTCTCTCACCGCGGCCGCTATCCGTGACGGTCGTCCAGGGCACAGCAGGCATGGCATATTCTCGACACCATAGGGGGTGCGCAGGGGGTGGTCTCTCACCGCGGCCGCTATCCGTGACGGTCGTCCAGGGCACAGCAGGCATGGCATATTCTCGACACCATAGGGGGTGCGCAAGGGGTGGTCTCTCACCGCGGCCGCTATCCGTGACGGTCGTCCAGGGCACAGCAGGCATGGCATATTCTCGACACCATAGGGGGTGCGCAGGGGGTGGTCTCTCACCGCGGCCGCTATCCGTGACGGTCGTCCAGGGCACAGCAGGCATGGCATATTCTCGACACCATAGGGGGTGCGCAGGGGGTGGTCTCTCACCGCGGCCGCTATCCGTGACGGTCGTCCAGGGCACAGCAGGCATGGCATATTCTCGACACCATAGGGGGTGCGCAGGGGGTGGTCTCTCACCGCGGCCGCTATCCATGACGGTCGCCCAAGGCACAGCGGTATCGGCGGGGCAACGGCCACCAACATCATTCTCACATGCTTCACTTCAGCTCTCATCTCTCCAGCCATCATATATGTATGTGGGGTTCCTCGGTAGCGTAATTGTTCGCTGCCCTGGGCCCCTTCAGGGCATGGCCGGCCGCTCAGACTCGGAGGGGAAAGGTCAGGAGGGAAGAAAACACAGACACAATCAATCGTCGATACTCCAGAAAATATTGGAAACTATGGGAAGTGGGGGGGAGACGAAAACCCAGAAAATATAGGAAATCATGGGGAATCCTTTTATTCGTGTATTTATTTGTGTGCCAGGGCCCCTTCAAACGGCGTCGTTGGAAGAGCTCCGCCCTCTGCCGCCGGCCCCCCCATCCCCTTCCTCTGAGTGCCCGCGTGGCCCCCCGTCAGCTGGCAGGTTGGTGGGTTTTCTTGACGGCCGTCTCCGATTCCGGCTCCCACCTCGATCTCCGACTCCCGCCCCCGTCTTTCCGGCTCCTGTCTCTCCGCAGCCTATATGGTTGTTTTCTCTTATTCCAACTTCCATCTCTCCGGCTCCGGCTCCGACTCCTGCCCCCAACATCAGCGGCGCCGTGCAATTTTGCCGAAAGTTGCCACTTTAGGGCCTCTTTCTGGCAATGCAGCGTTGCCCGCATCGGGAAGGGTTGGGTTCGCTGGGTCACTGGCCAAAGTACCCGTTAGTGGAGTCCCCGTTTGAGGGGCGTTGAATATGGTTGTTTTCTCCTATTCCGACTTCCATCTCTCCGACTCCGGCTCCGGCTCCGACTCCTGCCCCCAACACGTCTCCTGAGGGCGCCAGCCCCCCCGCGCCGCCCTATAAGGGCTGGTCCCGCCGGACCGAACTCGCGCGCTCGCCTCGCTCGCCTTGACGGCCGTCTGGCTGGCAGTTCGGCTGATTGGCTTGTTGTCTGGCTTGGCAAGTGGCGACTGGTTTGGGCCGTTCGCTAGGTGGCTGCTGGCGCGCGTCGGTGGTTATCAGTGAGGGATGCGGACCTCGGGGCCGTGCTTCCACTGTAATTGAAATGGGATCGAGGCTTCGGGAGCGCGCATCCCTAGCTATTTACGAGAACTCGCGGCCTCGAGCCCAGAGCCGAATTCTCGGCAAACGACGGGGAGGCGAAACGTGCCCCCCCGAACACCTTCCTGCTCTGTAGAAAGGGTTGCGCTGTTGGGCAGCCCCCATGGGTTGAGTCTCTGGCCCCAGGAACGCACATTTGTCGTTTGTCCCCATCTGGCAGGTTGGGCTTGATATGCTCTAAGAACAGATCTCCCAGCCCGACCACCCAGCATGCCGCGGCCGCCAGATCCCCAGGTCCTCGCGCCGACCCGGTCACTGAATATCGCGGCCGCCAGATTCCCAGGCCCACCGAGAATCCCGCTAAGACAACCGCCTCACGCCGACGAGCACGACAGAGCCTGACGGAATTGGGCCTCACATGATATTGAGCCTAGCATAACAGAACATAACATGGCATAACAGAACAAAACATAACGCAGCACCACAGGACAGAGCTCACTATAGCAACGCTGCATCATAACGAAGGATGCCACGACGGAACAGACCATACAGTACCCATCATAACAAATAGACGCGCACTCAATAGCATAACGTAGCATGACAGCGCAATCACTGTCTTAGCTACACATGCACGGCAAAGCATAACACAGCACACCACAACACCAGCACTTAACAAGCATATAATGACAGACCATGATGTGTCATAACATACCTTTTTTCATTCGCATGCTAAACCGTACATGACAAGGCATGCAAGACCAGAACGCTACATAACATGCTATAGCGTAGCATAACATGCCATATCATATCAGTAAACCATAACAGAATATACCATAGCATGCCATCGCCTATAACATTGTATTACACAAGGTAGCATGACAACGCATAGTTGGCATATCGTCGCTGTCCA